GAGCTTTAAAATTGTGAATATAGAGCTTCAAAGATTATGGATGTACAGTTATGGAGTTATGAATCTACAGTTATGAGATTATGAATCTACAGTTATGGAATTATGAATGTACAGTTATTGATCAAATTATGAACAAAGAGCTCTAACATTATGAACTTACAATTATGAACATATAGTGATAAAATTATGAACATAGAGCTCTAAAATTGTGAACATAGAGCTTCGAAAATTATGAATGTACAATTATAGAGTTATGAATGTACAGTCATGGAGTTATGAATGTACAGTTATGGAGTTATGAATGTACAGTTATAGAGTTATGAACGTACAGTTATAGAGTTATTAATGTACAGTTATTAATAATATAGTAATAAAATTATGAACATATACTCCTATAACGAAGCGGTCTGAAATTCTTAAAAAAAAAAAAAAAAAAAAAAAAAAAAGAAGGAGATAACAGTGCCGTCCAGCAAGCATGCTGGACACAGGTCCAACACATAACGATTGCTTGATGTTATGTTTGTTATTAACTACCAATTTTAGTTAATCCTAAGTTAACGACGTTTCAATAACTCAATTCTCCGCCACTAATGGTACACACCATCTGCGAAAACGATATGCCACCATCTGAGTAGGTTAACGAAGATGAAGACAAAGATTCCTAGTATGGATAGGATCTTTGATTGACTTGGATTCTCGTGTCGGAATCGGAAACATACGAAGATTCCGTGGAATAAAGCAAACTAAACAAGTCAGAGTTCTTAGCGGCCGCGTAAGGTGTTTGTTTGTTGTGTCGTGGAAGCGAGCCATGCAACTGTTAACTAATAACCTCATACACTTTATTTTGTTGTTTTGCCAAATTCAGGAATTTATCGCAACCAACACCATTACGGTAAAGTGAGGCAAATTATAATGCGGACCGCAGTTCCCAATGTATTATGGTACAAGCATCAAATATGTATGGTAGTCTCATTTCAACACAATTAAAGTATCACTTTGATATAATTACAGTTTCGCTCGATATTATACATTCAAATATGTGAAATTGTTATTCAGTTTAATTTTGTATACACTGCAGCTTCATTTCAACACAACTACAGTTTCATTTCAATTCAATTGCAGTTTCATTTGATAATATAATAAAAATAATACATGAGACAATGTCAATTTAGATACACTATAATGGATGCCGTTTTGGACCATGGTCCACAATATAATTGCTGGTAAAGTGACATCTAAAGTGATCTACAAGAATGGTTGTTCTTATCATTTTATAGGCCCAAATTTTATTTAAAAAAAAAAAAAGGTCCAAGTTAACATAGGCCGGACATTAAAAAAATAAAGTCCAAGTTAACATATATTTTCATAATTAAATTTAAATTATATAAGATAAAAACTATTAATTTTAAATAACTTGAAATAATATTTACAAGTTTTTAATAATTTTGTCGAGTTTTTTGCACTTTTGGTCCTGCAACTATAGTGACATTATCAGGATTGATTCGCCGCGACTTTCAAACCTTGCAATTTCAGTCTACGACTATTGTTTTTGTTGCAAAAATGATCCTTCCTGCCAAATTTATGTCAAAATCTCATCGGATTTGGTCAATAATGCATTGTGGATACACTGTGTGACCCTTCCACTGTATTTACATTGAATATTAGTGGAACCTCCTCGAAGTTGAAGGGAAGGGTGGACTAGGCTATTGTTGAACCACTATAAAAATTCTTGTCTATCTTTACTTTTTAGCACTTTACTTATAACTGCACTAACCTAGCTTGTTGAATCAATCACACACATTACACGTTTTACAGCGGATTGTTTTGCGTGAAACCAAAATCAGCTGCAAGTGACTTTTAAAGTTTTCCGCCGCATGTTACTAGCAAATCTGTTGGTAGCACGCTCTTGATTAACTGTATTTGCAAAACTTGTCTTAAAAATTTCTAAGTAAAAATTTTAAGAAAGTCTATTTAGCCCCTCCCCCTCCCCCCTTCTAGACTTTCTTTTCCTCTTGGGACCAACATATTATAAGTGATTATTTTCTGATACAAATATATGTGGGGTCCACTTTTGATTTTGCTCCGGTCAAAGTGGATGCGCACTCTTCGTAGTGAGACGAAGAAATCAATATATTTTACACTCAAAACAGAAAATGGGTGAATGAGAAATTGATTCTCAAAGTAGATCCATTTGAGTTGAAAAATGAAGGTGGAAAGGCTTGGAAGAACTGAAGAAACACTTGTCCCACATTGATTTGAGGACTAGATTTGCACCACTATATATACAAGAGCCTTTTAAAAAAAGTTTTAATTGTATAACACAAAAGCTTATGTTTATTTTACTTTTCTTATTTTGTATTGCCATACAAATAGTCAAATAGAATACCCTTTTGGTAGCACTTCCAAAGTTTAGACTCTCATATGAATTTGATCAACATGTGTTGCCAACTAATCTGCACAAGAGCCTCTCTCGAAGTATGACAAAGTTGATACTTGAGAGCTTTAGGCCATATTTGATAAATGACTGTTAGCTGTTAGCTTATTGGGTTAATCAGATGGTATAACTAGTTGATAACATTAGCTGATTGTAGAAAGGTGTTTGGTAAATTAGCTGTTAGTTGGCAAACAAAACGCAAGCCTCTTTCGGTTGGAAGCTTGACGCATAAGGGGACTTGGTGGTAGACTCTTGGTGCTGCGAGCCTGACATTGAAGATCGCCAAGAGTGCACATCTGGATCGAGGGTATGTCACCAGTTTTGGTCAACAATGCTTGGTGGATACATTGTGTGACCCTTCCACTGTACTTACACGGAATATTGGTGGAACCTCCTCGAAGTTGAGAGGAAGAGTGGACTAGGCTATTGATTAACCACTATAAAAATTCTTCTATATCTTTACTTTTTAACACTTTACTTATAACTCCACTAACCTATCTGATTGAACCGATCACACACATTACACGTTACTTTTGCATGAAACCAAAATCTGCTGCAAGTGACTTTCAAAGTCTTCCGTGACTGTTACTAGCAAATCTGTTGGTAGCACGCTCTTGATTAATTGTATTTGCAAAAATAGTCTTAAAATTTTCTAAATAAAAATTTTAAGAAAGTCTATTCAACTCCTCCCTCTTTCCCCCTTCTAGACTTTCTTTTCCTCTCTAGACCAATATATTATAAGTGGTTATTTTGTGGTACAAATATATGTGGGGTCCACTTCCGGTTTTGCTCGGGTCAAAGTGAATTCGCACTCACCGTAGTGAAACGAAGAAATTAATATATTGTACACTCAAAACGGATAATGGTGAATAAGAAATTGATTCTCAAAGTAGATCCATTTGAGTTGAAAAATGAAGGTGGAAAGGCTTGGAAGAAGCATTTGTCCCACATTGATTTGAGAACTGGATTTGCATCACTATATATACAATAGACTTTTAAAAAAAGTTTGAATTGTATAACATGAAGACTCTTTGTATGCTACATTTATTTCAATTTTCATATTTTGTATTGCCATACAAATAGTCAAATAGAATACCCTTTTGGTAACACTTCCAAAGTTTAGACTCTCATATGAATTTGATCAACATGTGTTGCCAACTAATCTTCACAATAACCTCTTTCTAAGTATGACAAAGTTGATACTTGAGAGCTTTAATCCTAATCTAATCTATGAGTTCTTGAAAATGATTTTTTTTTTCTATTAGTAAACGCATACTAAAATTTTGTATCACATGTTTATTTCCATTGTGTTATCCATATGTTATACTCATCCAAACATCCTAGTAAAGCTTGTAGTAGTGTGCTGACTAGACAATTTGTGTCAAATTTACATGGAACTTAGTATTACAGTGATACTACTTTATTATTATATTATATAGCAGTTGAAGATCTGGCGGTGGCTGGAATTATTGTGGCCATTAAACTATTAAAGTGGGAAAGAGAAAAGGGAATGCAAAGGAGAAAAAAGTTAAGGCCGGTGGGTATAGTTGCTGCTGTAGAAAAGTGAAGGTTTGGTACTATACATAGAAATCGAATCAATGGAAGAATCTGCTGGCCCAGAAATTCCAGGCATTGTTCTCGAAGCTGCCTACTACCACCATGTCTATCTGCAGTCATCCGTAATCAAGTCGAGTTCGAATAGTCAAATATTTATCAACTCATAAATACTTTGTATTTGATTGGATCAAAACAATGATGGTAAATTAATTTACATTGTTCACAAACATACTTAAACCAAGAAGGTCAATACACAGCTCTATGGTATTGATGAAGGACCAGTCAAGTTGCATTCTAAGCGAAGTTCACCTTATAACCCTAGCCAGCAAAAGAACACAAAGAAATGAACACCCATAAATTTTTCTCAAACCAAAAAGGTCAATAGACAAGCTCCATAGCATTGGTGAAGGACCAGTCAAGTTACATTCTAAGCGAAGTTCACCTTATAACCCTAGCCAGAAAAAGACCACAAAGAAATAAACACCCTTACATTTTTCTCAAACCAAAATGGCCAATAGACAAGCTGCATGGCATTGGTGAAGGACCAGTCAAGTTGCATTCTGAGCGAAGTTCACCTTATAACCATAGCCAACAAAAGACCACAAAGAAATAAACACCCTTACATTTTTCTCAAACCAAAAAAGCCAATAGACAAGTTCCATGGCATTGGTGAAGGACCAGTCAAGAAGAAAAAAGGCCAATAGACAAGTTCCATGGCATTGGTGAAGGACCAGTCAAGTTGCATTCTGAGCGAAGTTCACCCTATAACCCTAGCCAAGAAAAGAACACATAGAAATAAACACCACAGAGGGAGGCATTATCCAGATCAGTTTAAAGAACATAAATGGTTATCTTAGGAATCAAAAGTTGATGCAAATATGCCATCTTTTGCAAAAGGCATTGAGGAAGACATTTGGTGCATATAGCAAACAGAGGTGAGATCCAAGGTGATGTAAAACAGGGGATATATATTTATAGAATGCTGGAGTAGAGAAACAACAACAAAAAAAACATATGAACCAGGATAACATCTCTCAGTAATTCAAGTTTGAAAAATCCCCAAGAACTTAACTGGAAGTAAATAAGACAGACAGATCATAAAACTGAGCTACCAATTCAGAAATGAAGAATAAAAGTGAGCAGACATACATGTCTTAACAGACCAACAGATAGTACAATTTGGCAACACTTAGGTAGAATTGAAGTTGTCACAACCAGGTCCAAAATTGAGCAGCCTCTACTCCTCTTCGGCTTCTTTGTTCTTTTTCTTCTTCTTCTTCTCTTTCTTCTTTTCGCTTCTATTTGATTCATCGTCGGTTCCACCAGCAGCAGCTGGCAAAGAAGAGTCACCGTTCTGTTCATCTTTGTTTTTCTTCTTCTTTTTCTTCTCCTCCTTGGGTGATGCCGAGTCAGTTTTTACTTTATCTTTCTTCTTTTCCTTCTTTTCCTTCTCCTCATCAGAATGTACCTCTTCCATACCATCCTTTTTCTTTTTCTTCTTCTTCTTCTCAGTCTTCTCAATCCCAACTTCCACCTCCTTGTCCGTTTCGTTCACTTGCACAGTTTCCTCAACTTGTGATATCTTAGGTTTCTTAGCAGCATGTTGTGCGGGGCTTCCATCACCTTCATCCAATTTCCGCTTACCACCCTCTGTGATTGCTGGCTCTGGCTCAGTAGCAGCAAGCTGAGCAACCATAGAATCCCCTCCGGTGGGCAAAACAACATTCCTCAACCACTCAGTTGGTGTTTTCTCGTTTGGCTTCCCATGCTTGTCCAACTTCCCATCAGCTATCAATTTCTTCTTCATCGAAGCTCTAGGTCCCAAACCCCATTTCCTCGGATACGTGTCTCTATCCATCACCACCCTCTTAATCTTTGCAACCACTCCATGATCACAAGTTGCCATAACGGATGTAGTCATTTCCGCAATCCCCAATGCAATGGCCTCTCCCTTGGTCGTCATCAACACGACTTCCTCTCCCACCTCGATATCATTCTCGAACCTCAACAACCCAGGAATCATCAGCTTCGCACCATAACAAATTGCATTCACGGCAGAATCCTTCACCACCAACCTCTTGTAACTAGTTAGAAGTACTTCCAGCGGCATAATCACCCTCCTCAAATAACTCTCATCCCTATAATTATCATACACCCACTGAGCATCCATAACATCATGCATTGTCACCATATTGTCCTTCTCACCCATAATCCCAGACCTCACTCTCCTCAGCTCCTGCATATGTGCTCCCACACCCAACAACAATCCAAGATGCACACACATAGTTCTCACATAAGTTCCGGCCTCACAAGAAATCCAGAAAACGACCAAATGCCTATCCGCGTCATACTCCAGTAACTTACTCTCATATATAGTCCTAATCCTAAGCTGCCTTTTCACAGCAGAAATCAATGGTGGCCGCTGAAACACAGCCCCAGTCAGAGTCTCGAGCGCCCGAGCCACCTTCGCGACATCAGGCACTGCAGAGTGCAATCGTGCAATACAGACATACTCTTTTCCAGCACCCTGCTGGGATTTCACGAGCCGGGTGGCCCGATCAATACAGACAATCAAGTTCCCCGTGACTTTCGGGTCAAGCGTGCCGCTATGACCCGTTTTCTCGACCCGCAAGAGTCTCTTAATCCAAGCCACGACTTCATGGGACGAGGGATTCGCAGGCTTATCGAGGTTGAGAACACCGTACCTGATGTACTCGGCAAGCGGCCGCTTGAGCGGAGTGTGGCCGGAGGGAAGAGGAGTGTAGTGTCCGGTCCGAACATTCAACCGGTCGTAGTTCTTCAGGAGAATCGGCCACTGGGACGTATCAATGGAAGGAGTGAAGCTCTGTGGCTTGATGAGATAATCACCATGAACCTCGGTTGGTTCATTGCCGCCGGGCAAAGCTTCCGGGTCATCATTAGACTTGCTTTTCTTCTTCTTCTTCTTCTCTGAGCGAGAGAGCTCCACATCAGTCATGGCTGCCGCCGGCTTAGTGTATAGGTGAGACCAAATGAGACACAATCACAGCCTAAGGGGAGATGTTAAAAATGGACAAAATTAGGGTTTAGGGTTTTACAGACTTTGTAGGGTTCTGAAATCTTTCTGCCATTGGTAACTGTTACATTATACCGATGGGCTTAAATCTGTCTTGTTGGGTTTAGGCCCAATAATCATCAACATATAGGGCCGGTAGTTAGTTGTGGTCTTAGAAATTAGCCCAAAGATGTATAAGGCAGTCGTTATGGGCAAATTATATTATGCACCGCGGTGCATAATCGATTATGCACCGCGCGTCTTTTTTTTAAAATGAAAATAAATAGTGTTTGTTTCCGCCATTGCGCACCCTTTTGCAAAAAGTAACTCTGTTATTCAGTGTCATTTTGTATACACTGCAGTTTCAGTTCAACACAACTACAGTTTCATTTCGATATAATTATAGTTTCATTCGATATTTATAGACTCAAATATGTGAAAATGTATTTAATTTTATTTTATATACAGTATAGTTTCATTAAAACACAACTACATGATCATTTTGATATAATTACAGCTTCATTGTACAATATACACTCAAATATGTGAAATGTTATTCAGTTTCATTTTATATACACTGCAGTTTCATTTCACTATAACTACAATATCATTTTGATATAACTGCAGTGTCGGTTTAGATTTACTATAGTGTCGGTTGGTGTTTAATACACCAAACAAGCGGACTCCGTTAACTCTAACGGCGGGCCGTTTCTTTACTTAAAGAAACGACGCCGTTTTGACCGCGGTGCACATGCACCGCGGTCTATAATATAACGACTGGTCGTTATGTCGTGGACCGCGATGCACGTGCACCGCGGTAAAAACGGTGTCGTTTTTTAAGTAAATAAACGACGTGTCTTTACTGTTAGCGGAGCACGCATTTTTGGTGTGTAATTACCAACTGAAACTACAATGTATCTAAACTAACACTACAGTGTATCTAAACCGACATTGCCTCACGTATTATTTCACTAGTTCTTTTACGCGCTTTGCGCGAGTGAAATAATTCTCAATGATTATTATTAAATAAGTATTTCAAAGTATATCAATGCAATATTATATCGGAGATGTTCATGCATAAGTAAATAAATATTGAATTTGTTTATTTAAATCGGTAATTTAAAGTACATAAATGCAAGATAATATATGAGAGAATTGATTTTATTGTCACTAAAATAAATTTTGCAACTTTGTAATAACGCTAGTCTAAATACTTAGTCTAAAAACGATAGTATAAATAAATACTATTTTTTGTTTAAATTTCTCTAATTCTTCTTAATTCTCTTTTGAGTAGCATTGTCATTGTCTTCATCTTCAGTACATGTCCTCTTTATTTCTTTTTTTTTTTTTTTTTTTTTTTGTAGTGTGTCATGTGCAATTGGGTTACTGGTGGTAGCATAGATGGATTCATCGTGGAATGAGATTATGGTGTAGAAAGCTTTAGATTTGCTTTGTTGTGTATATGATGGGATCTTAGTTGTACTGTTAACTCTTTATCTTACCAGCACCTATTGATATTTGGTACTGGTAGTTTTTCCCCTACATGTTTCATGCACTGTGAGATGTGTGTCGTAGGTTATCATGTGCAAGTATTGAACAAAATATTAATATTTATTATATTTGTATATAATAATTGGTAAATAAATATATATACATATTTTGTATTATAATTTTGATATTTAATTACAAGATAATGTAAAAAAAGAAGACAATGGACATTGTAGTGAATATATAATAAATTAATAAATTTGAAGGTAATGAATCTTTGAATTGTAGAAAATAAAGATAATATAACTAATGAAATTATATCTCTTTTTAAATTTTTTATAATGAATAATTTTTTTTAAAATAAAAGCATTATAGACATCTAATTCTAAATTAATTAAAAGCATATGTATTATTTTTTGTTGTAGCTACTAATTAATTTAATTTAATAAGAGTAATAAAGTGGCGTACATACTTTTCATCAACTATAATGAAATCATTGGTTTTTTTTTTTTTTAATTTACATTCGTTGTTGACACAAATTGTTTTGAGAGTTTGTCAATAACAATTGTTACAATTCCTGTCAATAGAGGATGGTAATAAATAATTCAAAATATATAGTTACAATAGATATTGTTATAATGATATAGTAAAAATTAGCTTACAAATTTCTTTAGAATTTTTCATGCATTTGATAAAATTCTGATGTGTAAACTTTTTCAATTGGAGCCCGTGGGTTATCAACATTGTCAATTCGTTAGAAAATGGTCCTACCGTTTTAGAGTCCAGGTATAATTGTATTTATACCTCTAACGACTGCCTTATACATCTTTGGGCTAATTTCTAAGACCACAACTAACTACCGGCCCTATATGTTGATGATTATTGGGCCTAAACCCAACAAGACAGATTTAAGCCCATCGGTATAATGTAACAGTTACCAATGGCAGAAAGATTTCAGAACCCTACAAAGTCTGTAAAACCCTAAACCCTAATTTTGTCCATTTTTAACATCTCCCCTTAGGCTGTGATTGTGTCTCATTTGGTCTCACCTATACACTAAGCCGGCGGCAGCCATGACTGATGTGGAGCTCTCTCGCTCAGAGAAGAAGAAGAAGAAGAAAAGCAAGTCTAATGATGACCCGGAAGCTTTGCCCGGCGGCAATGAACCAACCGAGGTTCATGGTGATTATCTCATCAAGCCACAGAGCTTCACTCCTTCCATTGATACGTCCCAGTGGCCGATTCTCCTGAAGAACTACGACCGGTTGAATGTTCGGACCGGACACTACACTCCTCTTCCCTCCGGCCACACTCCGCTCAAGCGGCCGCTTGCCGAGTACATCAGGTACGGTGTTCTCAACCTCGATAAGCCTGCGAATCCCTCGTCCCATGAAGTCGTGGCTTGGATTAAGAGACTCTTGCGGGTCGAGAAAACGGGTCATAGCGGCACGCTTGACCCGAAAGTCACGGGGAACTTGATTGTCTGTATTGATCGGGCCACCCGGCTCGTGAAATCCCAGCAGGGTGCTGGAAAAGAGTATGTCTGTATTGCACGATTGCACTCTGCAGTGCCTGATGTCGCGAAGGTGGCTCGGGCGCTCGAGACTCTGACTGGGGCTGTGTTTCAGCGGCCACCATTGATTTCTGCTGTGAAAAGGCAGCTTAGGATTAGGACTATATATGAGAGTAAGTTACTGGAGTATGACGCGGATAGGCATTTGGTCGTTTTCTGGATTTCTTGTGAGGCCGGAACTTATGTGAGAACTATGTGTGTGCATCTTGGATTGTTGTTGGGTGTGGGAGCACATATGCAGGAGCTGAGGAGAGTGAGGTCTGGGATTATGGGTGAGAAGGACAATATGGTGACAATGCATGATGTTATGGATGCTCAGTGGGTGTATGATAATTATAGGGATGAGAGTTATTTGAGGAGGGTGATTATGCCGCTGGAAGTACTTCTAACTAGTTACAAGAGGTTGGTGGTGAAGGATTCTGCCGTGAATGCAATTTGTTATGGTGCGAAGCTGATGATTCCTGGGTTGTTGAGGTTCGAGAATGATATCGAGGTGGGAGAGGAAGTCGTGTTGATGACGACCAAGGGAGAGGCCATTGCATTGGGGATTGCGGAAATGACTACATCCGTTATGGCAACTTGTGATCATGGAGTGGTTGCAAAGATTAAGAGGGTGGTGATGGATAGAGACACGTATCCGAGGAAATGGGGTTTGGGACCTAGAGCTTCGATGAAGAAGAAATTGATAGCTGATGGGAAGTTGGACAAGCATGGGAAGCCAAACGAGAAAACACCAACTGAGTGGTTGAGGAATGTTGTTTTGCCCACCGGAGGGGATTCTATGGTTGCTCAGCTTGCTGCTACTGAGCCAGAGCCAGCAATCACAGAGGGTGGTAAGCGGAAATTGGATGAAGGTGATGGAAGCCCCGCACAACATGCTGCTAAGAAACCTAAGATATCACAAGTTGAGGAAACTGTGCAAGTGAACGAAACGGACAAGGAGGTGGAAGTTGGGATTGAGAAGACTGAGAAGAAGAAGAAGAAAAAGAAAAAGGATGGTATGGAAGAGGTACATTCTGATGAGGAGAAGGAAAAGAAGGAAAAGAAGAAAGATAAAGTAAAAACTGACTCGGCATCACCCAAGGAGGAGAAGAAAAAGAAGAAGAAAAACAAAGATGAACAGAACGGTGACTCTTCTTTGCCAGCTGCTGCTGGTGGAACCGACGATGAATCAAATAGAAGCGAAAAGAAGAAAGAGAAGAAGAAGAAGAAAAAGAACAAAGAAGCCGAAGAGGAGTAGAGGCTGCTCAATTTTGGACCTGGTTGTGACAACTTCAATTCTACCTAAGTGTTGCCAAATTGTACTATCTGTTGGTCTGTTAAGACATGTATGTCTGCTCACTTTTATTCTTCATTTCTGAATTGGTAGCTCAGTTTTATGATCTGTCTGTCTTATTTACTTCCAGTTAAGTTCTTGGGGATTTTTCAAACTTGAATTACTGAGAGATGTTATCCTGGTTCATATGTTTTTTTGTTGTTGTTTCTCTACTCCAGCATTCTATAAATATATATCCCGTGTTTTACATCACCTTGGATCTCACCTCTGTTTGCTATATGCACCAAATGTCTTCCTCAATGCTTTTGCAAAAGATGGCATATTTGCATCAACTTTTGATTCTTGAGATAACCATTTATGTTCTTTAAACTGAGATGGATAATGCCTCCCTCTGTGGCATATTTGCAAAAATGCAAAAGATGGCATATTTGCATCTGCTATGGAGCTGTTTGTTGGCCTTTTTGGTTCGAGAGAAATGTAAAGTTGTTTATTTTTTAATGGTCTTTTGCTGGCTAGGGTTGTAAGGTGAACCTCGCTCTGAATGCAACTTGACTAGTCCTTCACCAATGCCATAGAACTGTGTAATTGTGTATTGACCTTTTTAGTTTAAGTATGTCAGTTGTGAACAATGTAAATTGTTTTGATCCCATCAAATACAAAGTATTTGACTATTCGAACTCAACTCGACTTGCTGCAGGTAGACAT